GGGGGTGAGGATTCAAGTGCAGCTCAGACACCAACGCTGTGTGCACTGCCATGCACGTCTGTCCATGGAGGAAAAGCATCCCACTCGCCCCCTGTGACCCTTTGGGGCTCTGAGTACTGCAGTGTGTGCGGCTGGCAGGGATCTCAGCCTCTCTTCAGGATGTAAAAAAGGGAGGAGATGAGACTCCTTCCTTTGGAGGTCCTGCTGGGCTGCAGGCTGCCCTCAAGGAGGGAAAAGCTCTCCCGTGGCATCTCTGTGTTATGCAGGAGTCCCATGGAGAAGACCCCTGGGTGCTGAGGCCACAGAAATGCTACTGGGTGGCTGTAGGTGGGCAGTTGCCATGAGCTCTGTGTGTCCCTGGTTGGGAGGGCAGAGCTGAGATCCTCCTCAGGTATGATGGTCTGAGGGGTCTGGAGATCTGCACTTGGAAACTGGATTCCTCTGCTCCCAGCAGTGCCCTATTGCTTTTGGGGAGGACGCCTGAGTGTGATGTTCCTGGAACTGAAAGAGCTGCCAGCACAGGGCAGCTGAGCCCAGGGCTGATGGACAGAGCGGCTGCCCTCCCTCCACACTCAGGGACACTCCTTTGGCTTCACAGGATCCACAAGATTTCCCTGGCAGTGCAGCAGAAATGCCAGGGAGTTCTGCATGAAAACCACTCCTGAGCACCAGTGTGGACACTGCACCAGAAGGGAAAAAACAAAGTCCCCACAGCTCTGCTCTGCCGTCAGGTGAGTTGGGAGTGACTGTGCTGAAAAGCTCCTCGATATCACACTTGGATATATTCAGAGATCACCTCAAGATCCTCTTTACCTATTTCTATAGGGCAGGACTGAGTCCTGCAGAGGTCTTAGCAGAGCCTCCTGCTCTGCTACCTGAGGCACCCTTAGCCAGCACCAACCAGAGTTCACCAAAGGTCTACCTGAAAAGGGAAAGGTGGTTTGGGTGATTTTAATGAGAAATGGCATTTATGCTTCTCGAAGAATTCTGTTCTAATTTCTTACTCCTTTTGCCTCCTTGCACAGATCCCCATGGCCAGAGTGACAAAATGTCCAACAGCAGCTCCATCACCCAGTTCTTCCTCATGGCCTTTGCAGACACACGGGAGCTGCAGCTCTTGCACTTCTGGCTCTTCCTGGGCATCTACCTGGCTGCCCCCCTGGGCAACGGCCCCATCATCACTGCCATAGCCTGCAACCACCACCTCCATACCCCCATGTACTTCTTCCTCCTCAACCTCTCCCTCCTTGACCTGGGCTGCATCTCCACCACTCTCCCCAAATCCATGGCAAGTTCCCTCTGGGGCACCAGGGCTATCTCCTACGCAGGATGTGCTGCCCAAGTCTTTCTTTTTCTCTTTTTGTTGTCAGCAGAGTATTACCTTCTCACTGCCATGGCCTATGACCGCTACGTTGCCATCTGCAAGCCCCTGCACTACGGGACCCTCCTGGGCAGCAGAGCTTGTGCCCACATGGCAGCAGCTGCCTGGGGCGGTGGGTTCCTCTATGCTGTGCTGCACACAGCCAATACATTTTCACTCCCCCTCTGTCAAGGCAATGCTGTGAACCAGTTCTTCTGTGAAATCCCCCAGATCCTCAAGCTCTCCTGCTCAAACTCCTACCTAATGGAGGTTTGGCTTATTGTGTTTAGTGTGCTTGTAGACTTAGGTTTTTTTGTTTACATTGCACTTTCTTACGTGCAGATCTTCAGGGCTGTGCTGAGGATCCCCTCTCAGCAGGGACGGCACAAAGCCTTTTCCACGTGCCTCCCTCACCTGGCTGTGGTCTCCCTTTTTATCATGACTGGCATGTTTGCCTACCTGAAGCCCCCCTCCATCTCCTATACATCCCTGGATTTGGTGGTGTCATTTCTGTACTCAGTGGTTCCTCCAACAGTGAACCCTCTCATCTACAGCTTGAGGAACAAGGAGCTCAGGGATGCCCTTTGGAAACTGATTCAATGGCTGCTGTTTCACTGGCAATAACCTGCCTCCACTCCTCTGCACATTTCCCGTAGTCTATTATTCTGCTTTTTTTCTGCTGATAATTACGTAGAGATAATTGTTTGGGTTTAGACGCCTTCTGTTTAGGGTTCATTCTGTTGTCTCCAATTTTTTTCCAACACTGTGTCACATGTGGCCTGTCAGCAGCTCTTCAATAAAAGAGGATCCACCAGTTTCAGTGCCTGAAGGCTGGGCTCTTCCTTCAAAGCTGCTTCCAAGGAAATGTGAAAGGAATTGGTTTTTCAGTGTTTCTCTTGTCTTTTTATTCTCCGTGATTTTGAGGTTAAGCTCATAGTAATCTTGTGTTCCATGGGATCAAAAGTTGTCATTTTGAAGGCATACTTTTTGGTGATCCAATGGCAGGGGAGATGGTCCACAAGCTCCCCATTATCTCCCCAGGTTGCTTCATGTATGACAGTACTGATGGGATATACCAGACTCTCTGGAAATTAATTTGGAGGGGTCAGGAGACGATGGGGACTCACCACATGCCCTGGGGGTCAATAAATAAAGACTCAGAAGGTGCAACACCTTCAAATATGATGTCCCTCAAAAAGAAAGCACTTAATCAGGGTATCCATGAACAAGTAGTCTATAGTGAAATGGGAGTCAGTGGGGACTTGACAGACAGAAGAAAGGGAAACTTGAGAGATGCGGGAGCTGTGTGAGGACTCCCAGGGCCAGGACTCTGGTGATGTCTCGGGGAGTGGGGCTGGTGGGTGCAGAGCAGAGGGAAACTCCGTCAGTGCTGGGCTCACCTACAGTCTCAATTTAGGAGGGCCAGGGAGTGAGTAACCTCTGTTTGCTCATGCCCTTGGGGCCAGCACCAGCCCTGGGGCTGATGGGGAGACTGAAGCCCCCTCTCTTCCCCCCAGAAGCTGCTGTGCCCTTCATAGGGTCTGAGGCTGTGGGGTGAGTGCTCAGAGTGTGGTGGGCAGCACCACAGAGCCAGCCCAGACGGGGCTGCTCTGCTAGGCTGGGCTGGGGAGAGGGCAGGGGAGGTGGGGAGACCTGAGGAGGGGCTGGTCTGGGCTGGTCTGGAAGGAGCCTGGGAGAGGGAAACGCCAGTGTAGAGCTGAGCTGTGTGAGTGTGCAGGGTAGGGGCAGCCAGCACTCACAGTGCAGAGCTAGGTGACACAGTGAAGGAAGCAAGGCATCAAAGGTGCAGAAGAGAGGGTCCTGGCCTGTTCCATGTTCCCTGGACACCCCAGGAAAGCTGTGCCAGGAAAACTGTCCCAGGTCGGTCGCATACACCAGCCATTTCCATCTCTGGCCATACACCCCAGCCCTAACGAGGGACCTTTGCTGCGTGGTCACGTCTGTACTCCTCTGGGGCTCACTGATACCCAAATCCACTTCCATCAAAAAAAAGGGAACCAGTTTCCTACTGACAGCCATTACACACCAAAGCCCATAGCTCTTGCCACAGCTGGTCTCTCAGCCAAGGCCATTCTCAGGCAGCTCCATCTTGACCAAGCGCTCATGCCCTTGTCTTGACAAATATTGAAAGAGTGCATTGTTTGAAATCCCACCAACTGGCCTGGGTCCTTTGGCTCTCAGGGATTTCTCAAAACCCCAGCTCTCTCAGCCTCTCCTTGTCCATAACGTGCTCCATGCCCCAAAAATCCTTCTGGCCTCTGAAGGCCTCACTCCAGTCTCTCAGGCTCTTTCTTGTGCTGAGATGCCCATACTGGACGCAGCAGTCCTGATGTGGTCCTGTGGTGGGTTACCCTTGGCCAGCAGCCAGTCAGCCCCTCAGCTGCTCATGCACTCTCCTGACTCAACAGGACAAAGGGAGAAAATAAATCAGAAAAGCTCCTGGGTCAAGATAAAGACAGGGAGATCACTTACCGATTACTGTCACTGGCAAGGATGAAGTCATTCTCCTTTACACTTGCAGAACCATAGAAATGTTGAGATTGGGAGGGATGTCTGGAGATCATGTAGTTCAACCCCCCCAGCTGAGACAGGGTCAGCTAGAGGAGGTTGGTGAGGACCCTGTCTAGGTGGGTTTGGAACATCTCAATGGAGATGATCCACAATCTCTCCGGGCAACCTGTTCCAGTGATTGACCACTTGCATGGCCAAAAAGTATTTTATTGGGTTCAAATGGAATTTTATACGTATTAATAACAACCCTCTTCACCTTTTCTTCTCTAGACTGAACAGTCCCACGTCTCTCAGACTTTCCTCCTATGAAAGATGCCCCAGTCCCTTAAAGAATTTTTGTGGCCCTTTGCAGGTCTTGGTGGTCAACAGCTTTCTTGCACTGGGGTGCCCTTCAATGGACACAGCACTCTAGATGAGGCCTCATGAGTGCTGCGTAGAAGGGAAGTGTCACTTCCCTCCACCGTTGGTTTTCTAACTGAGCCCAGGAGGCTGTTGGCCTTTGCCATGAGGGTGCATTGATGGCTCATGCTGAGGTATGTCCTCAGGTATCCCAAGGTCCTTCTCTGCAGAGCAGGTCAGCCCCCAGCATGATGTCCACTGTGTGGCTGGATCACAGTCTTTCTTCCCCTGGGGACTTCCTCAGAAGCACCTTGTCCTTCCTGGAGATCAGCTCCACCTCTAGCACAGAGTCTTGCAGAACCCGTCTGTAGAAGTGTTGTCCCATTTTGCTCCTGTGAGCTCTTCCACTGTTTTCTTAGAAGGAAAAAAAATCCAGTCATCATTTCTTCTGCCCCCACAAGAGGCTGTTCCCATGGGAATTGGCTGTGGCAGTTCGAGATATAGGTAAGGACATGCAGAGGTCGTGGAGAACAGGAGAGGTGCCTGATGACTGGAAGATAGCCAATGTCACTCCAGTCTTCAAAAAGGGCAAGAAGGAGGACCCAGGGAACTACAGGCCGGTTAGTCTCACCTCTGTCCCTGGAAAGGTGATGGAACAACTCATTCTAAGTGACCTCTCCAAGCAAGTGGACGACAAAAAGATCATCAGGAGTACCCAGCACGGATTCACCAAGGGGAAATCATGCCTGACCAATCTGATAGCCTTCTATGATGGCATGACCGGCTGGGTAGACAAAGGGAGAGCGGTGGATGTTGTCTACCTTGACTTCAGCAAGGCTTTTGATACTGTTTCCCATAACATCCTCATAAGGAAGCTCACGAAGTATGGGTTGGATGAGTGGACAGTGAGGTGGATTCGGAACTGGCTGAATGACAGGGCCCAGAGAGTTCTGATCGGCGGGGCAGAGTCCAGTTGGAGGCCGGTAGCTAGCGGAGTTCCCCAGGGCTCGGTACTCGGCCCGGTCTTGTTCAACTTGTTCATCAATGACCTGGACGAGGGGATAGAGTGTACCGGGGGTGTGGAGTCTCCTTCTCTGGAGATATTCAAGGCCCGCCTGGATGAAGTCCTGTGTAGAATGCTCTAGGAGAGCCTGCTTTAGCAGGGGGGTTGGACTAGATGATCTCCCGAGGTCCCTTCCAACCCTTGCGATTCTGAGATTCTGTGATTCTGTAAGGACATGCAGGTGACCTAATCCCTGTTACCAGGTGGGAGCTGCCTGCAGACTTCTCATTACAATCAAATTTATTCTGTAACCCAGGGATATACTCAGCACAACACAGCCTGCAGGCCAAGCTGTACCTTACAGCACAGGCCTGGGTCTGTTCAGATTTCCTGTTGCATGGATCACTAACTCCTTGCTGGACAATGATCTTCTGGTGAGGATCCCTGCAGTGCCTGAGGAATGTTGGGAAGGGAATGAGTTGTCCTCTAAGGCAGTTGGAGAAAGGGATACAATTTTAGGACCTGGTAATCACTGACAACATTGAAGACCATGGAATTCTGCTAGAAGGAAACAGTTGAAGGGAAGATGGAAGGTGATCCCTGATCTGACATGGTGGGAATTCTCTTCTGGACAGGTTTTTCACAAAAAGGGAAGGTGCAACCAGTGGAAGATATGGAGGGAAGCTTTGGATGCAGTGTGAGTGAGGTGTAGGGTAGAAAACCCTGCTGGAAGTGAGCAAGACAGATTGAAGAAGCAATGAGTGGATAGGAAGGATGACCTCCACCAACCTGCTGGCCGTGCTCTTCCTAATGCAACCCCAGATGGCAATGGTTGCGTTTGCTGCAAAGGTGCAAAGCCAGGAGAAGAGAAGGCTTTGGGGAGACCTGACAACAGCCTTCCCATGCCTTCTTGAGTATCAGTGAGAAAATGGAGCCAGGGTCTTCACTGTTCATCTTGAGTCTTAACCTTCATTGACCTTACGTGTCTCCATTCATCCAAACCCCAGTGCATGTGGTGAGTCCCCATCTTCACTTCACTCCTTCCAAATTCATGTCCAGAGATTCTGGGAAATGCCATCAATCCTGTCATACATGAAGCAGACTGAGGAAATTATGAGGAGCTCATGCACCATCTCCGCATCCACTAGACATGAAAAGGAGAGCTTTTAAATCCAGAATATTTCATCCAGCGGAACTCAACTTTACCGTGAACTTAAACCCAAATGCAGTGAGAACCAAAGTAGAACAGACTCCTTAAAAGACCCATTTCTTGGACATTTTATTGTCAGAAATATTGGAGGAAGAGTGCAGCCTCCACGCAGTCCACAAGAGACATGCTAAGCAAGACGCCACATGTGATACAGTGTTGTGCAAGGGTCAGACACAACAGCATCAAACCTCAACAGAAGGAGTATAAACTCATAACATTATCAACCTTTAGAATTATCATAAGAGGAAAAAAACAGATTCATGGCCTAAGATAAAATCTGGGAAATGTGCCAAGGAGGGGAGGCAGGTTGTTATTGGACAAATCGAACCCATTGGATCAGTTTCCACACTCCATCCTGGAGCTCCTGGTTCCTCATGCTGTAGATGATGGGGTTCACTGCTGGAGGAACCACTGAGTACAGCACTGCCACCACCAGATCCAGGGATGGGGAGGAGATGGAGGGAGGCTTCAGGTGGTCAAACACTGCAGTGCTGATAAACAGGGAGACCACGGCCAGGTGAGGGAGGCACATGGAAAAGA